AGATGGTGAGTTCTAGTTTCACCATAGGCATGGAAGCCAACTGGGTGACTTTGGGCCAGTCACCAGGAGATAGTGAGTTCTAGTCCTGCCTTAAGCATGAAAGCCAATTGGGTGACTCTGAGCCAGTTTCCAGGAGTGTGTGAGTTCTAGCCCCGCTTTAGGCATGAAAGCCACCTGGTTGACTTTGGGTCAATCACCGGGAGATGGTGAGTTCTAGTTTCACCCTAGGCATGAAAGCTGGTGGGGTGACTTTGAGCCAGTTGCCAGGAGCCTGTGAGTTCTAGTCTCGCCTTAGGCATGAAAGCCACCTGGGTGACTTTGGGCCAGTCACCAGGAGATAGTGAGTTCTAGTCCCGTCTTAGGCCTGAAAGCTCACTGGGTGACTTTGGGCCAAACACCAGGAGATGGTGAGTTCTAATCCTGCCTTGGGCATGAAAGATTGCTGGGTGACTTTGGGCCAATCACCGGGAGATGGTGAGTTCTAGTTTCACCCTAGGCATGGAAGCCAACTGGGTGGCTTTGGGCCAGTCACCAGGAGATAGTGAGTTCTAGCCCTGCCTTAAGCATGAAAGCCAATTGGGTGACTCGGAGCCAGTTTCCAGGAGTGTGTGAGTTCTAGTCCCGCTTTAGGCACGAAAGCCACCTGGTTGACTTGGGGCCAATCACCGGGAGACATTGAGTTCTAGTCCCGTCTTAGGCATCAAAGACAGCTGGGTGACTTTGAGCTAATCCCCAAAAGACTAGAGTTCTAATCCCAGTTTAGGCACGAAAGCTGGTTGGGTAATTTGGAGCCAATCGCCAGGAGACCCTGAATTCTAGTCCTGCCTTAGACATCAAAGCCAATTGGGTGACTCTGAGCCAGTTGCCAGGAGTGTGTGATTTCTAGTCCCATTTTAGGCATGAAAACCACCTGGTTGACTTTGGGCCAATCACCAGGAGATGGTGAGTTCTAGTTCCACCATAGGCATGAAAGCCACCTGGTTGACTTGGGTCCAATCACCAGGAGGCTCTGAGTTCTAGTCCCGCCTTAGGCATCAAAGCCAGCTGGGTGACTTTGAGCCAATCCCGAAGAGACTGGGAGTTCTAATCCTAGTTTAGGGCATGAAAGCTGGTTGGGTGACCTGGGGCCAACCGCCAGGAAACCGTGAATTCTAGTTCTGCCATAGGCATCGAAGGCAACCGGGTAATTTTTCAGAACCGGTCGCTCTTTTTCAGCCCAACCCACCTCACAGGGACTGGTGCGAGGAAACTAGGAGGCAGAAGGCGCGTTAGAGACTGTTCACCAGCTGCAGTTATTTATGACAATAATAATGGCGAGATTTAAAAAGATCTTGTAAAAAAAACCAGGATGGCATGTAATCCATCCATCCATCCACCCGTCACTGCAATAACAGATGGTCTCCTGCGTTTGACTGACAGGGGACTTGCCAGTGATTTTTGCAAGGAGGAATTTGCAAACCATTAATTATCCATTTGGGGAAAAAAGGGTCCCGACGAATTGAATAGGGCTATTTCTAAATGGATATCTTAAAATATATTTGCCGGCAGGAATTCTGCTGCTTCTCTTAAAAATAGCACTTTATTCGGGCCCACTGAATTAGGTGCCGGGGACATGATGTACATTTATGTTGGCGTCATCGCATCAGTGGCATTAGCTGGTCCTCGACGTACGACCACAATTGAGCCCCAAGTGTTTCCGTTGTTAAGCGAGACAGCGGCTCCGTGAATTTTGCCCCATTTTGCAACCTTTCTCGCCACCGTTGTTAAATGAATCATTGCAAGTTACACGCAGCTTAACTGAATCTGGCTTCCCCAGCGACTTTGGCTGTCAGAAGGTTGCAAAAGGGGGATACCTGAACCCAGGACACTGCAACCGTCGTAAATATGAGTCAGTTGCCCAAGTGCCTGATTATTTGGATCACGTGACCAAGGATCATGTGACAGCCATCATCTTCACTATCATCATCATCTCCTTTTAATGAGCCCATAATCCCTTGCGGGGTGGAATCAGGCCAACTGAAGGGAACGGGAGTGTTTCCTGGCCGGATGCTCTTCCTGTTGTCAGTGCGGAGTTTTGTTCGGCAGATATATATTCTCGTCGTGCCCAGAGAGAGAAATATCTGCCTCCTACCTAGGATCGAACTCACAGCCTCCTGATTGTGAGGCGAGCGCTCCACCTGTAGGCCGCCACACACCTCAATGCTGTGACAGTCGTAAGTGTGAAAAAACGATCACCAGTCCTTTTTTCAGGGCCGTTGTGACTTTGAACGGTCCCTAAACGGACTGTTGTAAGTCAAGAACTACCGATAGGGTCGTGTTTCTTCACTTTAGCAATGTTAAGGTGCGTGGACTTCAACTCCCAGAATTCCTTAGCCAGCAAGAATAGAATAAAGATTTGTCTCCCATTTCTAAGAATCTTTCCACATTGTACTAGAGGTGGTATTCAGCCAGTCTGGACCTGGAAATTTTGAGTAGTTCGGAGAACCGGCAAATCCCACCTCTGACTGGCCCCGCCCCCATCTCTTCTCCACCTCCCATTAAGTCCCAGCTGATTGGCTGGATCTTCTGTGGTTGCCCTGCCCAGGAGAACGGAGCTGGAAAGCAGGTTAGTGGGGTGAGGAGGGAATGAGGATTTTGCAGTATATCCTTCCGCTGCCATGCCCACCAAGCCACACCCACCAAGCCAAGCCACACCCACCAAGCCAAGCCACACCCACAGAACCGGTAGCAAAAAAGGTTTAATCCCACCACTGCCTTGTACCTGTGGGGAAACTTACTTTTTACATGCATAAATAAAAAGGTATTTATACACCTTTCTGGGCAGATGCTATTCCTAGTTTGGCCCCGGGGCGCCCCAAGCTGAGAACCTCCTCATGATTTATGGCTAACAAGGCTTAACTCCAAGAAAAATAAAATAAAATAAAAAAACCCTGCAATATCAGAATTGACCTCCGTTCCTTCTCTTCCATCGAACCAAATGAGCTTTAAAACTCTCCCAGCGGAGTTCAAAGGAAAACCAGGCGGCGAAAGTCGAAATCGGATGATAAATTGTTCCGACACGGAGGGTCATCTGAGGAGAAATCTATCTTAGCAACTGGCATCTTCATTCCTGCAGCCAACCGCTAAGGCAGAGAAGAAAGGGGAGGCAGGATTTGGGGTGTATTTGGGGAACAAATCAACACTAGGACAGCCAGCGTGTGTCTGGCCTCGGGTTCAAGATCCTCAGATCCTACCTGTCTTTATTTGGGTTTGTTATTTCTTTCCCCAAGCGATAAAAGGTAAAAGTTCCTCTTGTACATACATACTAGTCGTTTCTGGCACTAGTGGGTGGTGGTCATCTCCGTTACAAAGCCGAAAAAGAGCCGGCGCTGTCCGAAGACGCCTCCGTGGTCACGTGGCCAGCATGACTAAACGCCGAAGGTGCACGGAACGTCGTTACTTTCCCACCCAAGGGGTTCCTATTTTTCTACTTGCATTTTTTTTTACGTGCTTTCGAACTGCTAGGTTGGCGGAAGCTGGGACAAGGAACAGGAGCTCATTCTGTGACGCAGTGCTCACATTACAGCCCTGGTCAAAAGGGCCCAGCAGAGATTAGACCAGGGGTCCCCAACCACCGGGCCGCGGACCGGTACCGGTCCGTGGAACATTTCCTACCGGGCCACCGGTTTGCTGGGCGCCGCCATCTTGTTTGACGAGAAAGTGCTTCTGGGTGAGCTTTTCCAGTTGGAAAGCGGCGTTTGGGTCCTGAAGGAATCCTCGCGCCTTAGTTTCATTGAAGGGGGGGCGGGGCTTCGAACGAAAATAAGGCGCGCGGATTCTTTCAGCACCCAAGGCAAGGCGAGCCGAGCGACTGTCCTGAAGCCGTCCCGAAGCCCATCGACAAAGGTACAAAGGAGGAGTTGAAGGTGGCGGGGAGAAGCGGGGGACGGCTGGCTGGCCGGTCGCTCGGCTCGCCTTGCCTTGTCATGCGTGCTGATGCCGGTACCGGGCTGTGGATCATTTTGTGATGCCGGTACCGGGCCGTGGCACAAAAAAGGTTGGGGGCCATTGGATTAGACTACCTGAGACTTATCAGAAAACAACAACTGAATGAAAAATTGCTGGTGACCTTCTACCGCTGCACCATAGAGAGTATCTTAACATACTGCACCTCTGTATGGTTTGCCAATTGCACAGGGGCAGATAGGACAGCACTCCAGAGGGTTAACGTCATTGCCCAGAGGATCAATTGGTTTACCTCTCCCCTTTTTGGAAGAGCTTTGTAGCTCCCGCTGCCTTAAGAAAGTTCAAAACATTCTCAAAGATCCATCTTATCCTGGGCACCCCCTTTTTTTGAACTATTACCATCTGGCAGATGGTACCAGATAATAAAAACAAGGACAAATAGGCTGAAAAACAGCTTCTATCCCAGGGCAGCAGCTCTGTTGAATTCTACTGCATAGTGCAGTGTTGGTTTGGTGTCGGGGGTTTTCAATTCAATGTGTGGAGTGTGTGTGTGTTTGTGTTTTATTTTCACGGTCATGATGTGCACCGAAGATGGCGTTTTCGTTGTACGAGGTGCAATGGCAATAAATGAAAATAAACTTAGGGATTCGAACCCCCGAACTGCTGACCTTTCTGATCGACAGGCTCAGCGTCTTAGCCACCCCATCCCTCATACGATGGTCATACCCCCAAGCGATACGGCGGTGAAATATTGACTTACTTGACCTAATGGCTTAATATTCTTTGTACCCTTCTCATTTTTCAGGGGTGCGAAGGGCACACCACACGGAAGCCATGAGCCCTGCCTGCCTGCCTCTCGTCTTCCTACTGCTGCTGGAGAGGACGTCTCAGGCCCACTTCCCCGAAGAATCCGGGCCCATCAGCGTCGCTCTGGAGGACTGTAAGTGCCCGGCAGGAAAGGTTTGGCCAACTGGAGGGTTATTGGGTTAAATTAGGGCCAGTACCCAACTTACCAACCACAATCTGGGTCCAGAGCGAAGGTCACTACGTGATCCGGTTGCGAAGCAAGTCCTCACCTGACCGGACCTGATTTTACGACCATTTTTTTACCATGGTTATTAAGTGAGTCATGTGATGGTGAAGTGGTGTGGTTGTTAAATGAGTTGTATGGTCATTCAGTGAATCGTGTGGCCATTCAGTGACTGGTATGATTGTTAAGTGAATTGTGTGGCCTTTCAGTGAAGTGTCTGGTGGTGAAGTGAATCGGGTGGCCATTAAGCAAATTGTGTGATTGTTAAAGTGAATTGTGTGGTCATTAAGTGAATTGGGCATGGGGGGCACGTTTTGGCCAGCAGAATGGTGCAGGAGGCCGTCCAGGGCAAAAATAGGCATTGGGGGTGCTGTGTGTACCTCCTACGCATCCCGTTTGGCTGACAGAGGTACCGCGGGCCAATCCTTAGCTACTTCCAGGCCGGCCCTATGGATTTAAGCAACCTGCAAGGCAGATTTAGGCCTTGAGCTAGACACCCCTGTGATAGATTGACAGTTAGCCATAGCATTTAGACTTATATACCGCTTCACCATGCTTTACAGCCCTCTCTAAGTGGTTTACAGAGTCAGCATATTGCCCCCAACAATCTGGGTCCTCATTTTATCAACCTCAGAAGGATGGAAGGCTGAGTCAATCTTGAGCCTGGTGAGAATCAAACTGCCAAACTGCAGGCATCTGGCAGTCAGCAGAAATACCCTGCAGTACTGCATTCTAACTACTGCACCAGCACGGCACAGATAAATC